GAACCGACAATAACGAAAGCAGAAAAGACCCAAAAACCAAAGGATCCGAGAAGGGTAGAATCGAGTAAAAGACTGGCAGCAATATCTAGGGAAGAAAAAGGAAGGAAGGCTGAAGAAAGACGTAGCATTGAAAATAATTCCGATCAAGGTGATTCGGTAAATACGCTGATTTACGCTGGAGTAGCAACAGCTGCGCTGGGGGGAATCTACTACATATACTGCAAAGTCAGACCTACGGACAAACCTGATCACACAACAGAACCACAAGTACAGGACGAACCCAAACCAAAGTTCGAAAAATTTAATGATTAGTCAGTATAATAAAAGGAATGGAAAAGAGAAGTCAAGAACTTACGCCCGGTTTCAAAAGGGCACTGACCTCCGACGTTGTAGGAAACAGGGTATGTAACTTCGTTACATTCAACCCAAACGAATCTAACCCCGGAAACGACATCCGGATTGTAGTTCCAAAACTGGAACCGAACACCTGTATCGTTCCGGACTCATTCCGTCTGTCGTACGAGTTCAAGAACGAAAACACCAAATCCCGGTTTATGAATAACCTCGGTAAACTCGTGTGTGAACGACTCATGATAAGGGTGGGTGGTGAAATCGTATACGACAATAACGGCGAAAGTCTCATCGAAGTCTACAAAGATCTCTGGAAGATGAGCACGAAAAGAGCAAATATGATAGAATACTGGATTATGAACGAAAACACAAGAAAGCTATTGTCGAAGGACGACACTGCCGATCAGACCGGAAAAACGGACGGCGACTACGATCTAGTAATGGCGAAGGTATACAAGGAGCAGAAAATGAAACTCGGAAAAATTCTCAATGACCACGGCCCCTACGCACCGTACAACATGAAGAGCGGATTCGAGTACACGATAACCCTTCCAAAAGCCGACAAGATTATGGTTGCACAAGCGAACGAGAAGGTGGAAGGATATACGTTAAAAAACATACATCTGGAATACGAAACCATCGAAAACGAAGAACTGGCCAAACGGGTAAACGAAGGATACGAGACCGGCAGATCCCTGTCATACGAACACACAACACTGTTGAAAACAACTGTGTGGTTAAAGAATGCTACAAGGTTCAACGAAACTATAGACGTTCCAAGGGTAAGCATGATGGCTGTGGTCCTACTTTTCAGGAAAAGAACAATAACCGACAGCGAGGAATACGTCTTTCCAAGCATCGAAAAGGTAAAGGTTACAATAGAGGGGAAATCGAATGCCGTATATAGTCAGGGTCTAACAACGGAAGATTTCTACGACGAAGCAAAAAGACTGTTTGGAATAGCCAACAACACCTGTAACGACGACATAAACGTCAGGAAATTCTACAAAGATAAATTCGCATTGGTAATCGATCTGAGGGCTGTCGACGACAACCATATCGTTGGAAGTGGAAAGAAGCTTCTCGGCGATAACCCCGGAATCCCTCTAGAAATTGAAACGGACACTATTACCGAAGACATCCTCTGTAACATCTTTGTGCTATCCGATGGACTCATAAACATCAGCGAAAAGCCCCTTCAGGGGATTAGTTATTAAATAAAAGATGGAACCGCTGAAAATACCATTCAACATGATCATTCTCGGAATGACCGGATGTGGAAAAACCTACTACCTACTGGAAATGTTGGAAAACGATTATAAAAACCACTTCGAGTACATATTTCTAATATGTCCCACATACGAGTGGAACAAAACGTACCAGGACTGGAAATACAATACGGATAAGGACTTTATAGCCATGCCCTGCAAGCAGGATGATGTAAACCAGTGTTTAGAATATGTTTCGCATTTTGCAAGAGGAACAAATAGCCTTATCGTTCTTGATGACTGTGCTCGTAGCCAATCCGTCAAAAACAGGACCAGCGAATTGGTAAAACTTGGGTTTAGCGCAAGACATATGGGATTATCAACCATTGTCATTACCCAACAACTCACATCCATTGCGAAACCCTATAGGGAAAATATATCCAAGCTTGTAACCTTCTACAACCCGAGCGCAAAGGATACGGACATAATATTGAACGACTACCTTGCAAACACGGAAAAAGAAGAAAGGAAGAAAATCATTAATACGCTAAAAAACGACTACGCCAGGCTGGAAATACTATTACGCCGACCCTATACCCACGAAACAATTATTCCGCATATTAAATAAAGGAATGGAAACCATATTCGAATCTGTAGAGCCTGAGACATCTGTTGCAAGCGACCTGAGGGAAAAGCTACTAAAGTTGGTCGATGCAGGTGAAATTAAGTACACCTCAAAATATATCAAAAAATCATCCGAAAAAACGTTGGAAAATATATACAAAGACTACGAAAGACAACGTCTGGAGAACACAAACAGCCAACTAGCCGATGTTATCATCACCAAGTTCTCCGAACTCATGGAGGCGTTGGACGCTGTTAAGGATGCTGAAGGAATGAAAAAAGAACTCGAGGAAAACGATCTGCTTAGAAAAGACATAAAAAACCTCGTCAGTTACGTAACACCCGTACATCCCACTCATTGGAATACTAAGTGGTGGAATCACCGTTGGAAAACATGTGGTCAGTACAAAAGCAGGTTGTTCGGAAAAGGAAGAATAAAAAAAAATGCTGAGTCAACAGTTTTCAAAAAATTTTTTTTTCCTATATAATAAAAGACAATGGGTACCTACAGGAAAGTCCAACTGTACTTCGAATGTTCCGAAGAAATGACGGAGTTCATTTCAGAAATGTGTGAGGACACGGACTTCAGGGATGCTGGTATTACCTTAATGGACGAAAGAGCTAATAGAGAGGTAGTTATTAGGTTCTGGCTCGTGGAAGAAGGAGGTGTTGTAATCATGGGTGTGAACGCGATGCCCTTCGGTCCGCCGATAGGTGTTGTCGTTTTCCTCACCGTACCGGAGGGTTTGGCGCTTGGAGAGATAGACAGCCTCACGTTGGACGGTCCGGAGTTCGGCGTTAATTTGGGACGGCCCAACGATTCCGCAGAATTGTGGGTGTTTTCCATACCGTCCTTACGTGCCCGTTCCTATGGTATGGGGAATCTGTTCAGGATACGGTGGAAAGACCGATCGGTTACGCCTGTTGAGTACGAGAACAGTTTACCCGTCAGCGGTGTTGATGCTCTTTAAATTTTAATGTTCTTACAATCATTAAATTTGATTTCCGTTAGGATTCCTGTATCCGATTAATCCCTCCGTTGTAGAAGCCTCTTCCTGGGTGCTTTGGGCTTTTCCTCCAGTATGTTTGCCTCATGCAGCTTCACCTGAATGGTGGTTACGCTGCTGGACACGTAGATGCTCTCGATCTTTACGACCGCGTCAAGACGAAACCTTTTGTCCTGGTACTTCTTGTGATCCACCGGGTCGTCCCCTCTCGGAGGGTAGATCTCCGTTTCACCGTCGATCTTTACGTACAGTGTCGGAGTACTACCTTTTCGGTAAAGACACCTCATAATGTTTTCACCCGGCTTACCAACGTGATCGGGGGACTCCGTTTCCACAAGCTCCAGTGCTGACACAAACTCCTTTTTATCCCTCAGGGCTAGGGAGATGGAGTAATTGTCCTTACCGAACTTGTTGTTTTTACTTACTCCGTAGGACAAGCAGTCCTCGAGTTCCAATAGAAGTGGGCCCTGATCCTGTGCCGTTAGTATGATCTTTTTGGACCCGTAACTGTTTCCGACGGCATCTTCGAAAGCGAACGAGTCTTTGGAGAAGTTTGAAACTTTGGTAATGGCCATCCTTTTTATTATATACAAAATTTTTTTTTCAGAAACTGCTGACTCAGCATTTTCCCTCAACCGGAAGTGACGTCATAGGTCACGTGATGCAAAACATACGCAATGGAAGACTTATTGAAGACTTCCAAGGTGGGGGGTTGTGCATGCGTGGTGGGGTTTTTGGGTAGGGTTTGGGTAGGCTTTGGGTAGGCTTAGGGTAGGCTTAGGGGAGGCTTAGGGTAGGCTTAGGGTAGGCTTAGGGTAGGCTTAGGTAAGACTCTGGCGAGACTTCTGGAAGCACTCTCAAGGCGGGGGTGGCGGGGATTGTGCATGCGTGGTTTCTGTAAACCGGAAGTGACGTCATAGTTCCGGGCAAGTCTGGGCAAGCCTGATTGTGGTAAACCGGAAGTGACGTCATCGGATGCGCGGGAGGGGGTGCGCAGTTCCGGGGGTACCGGAGCTCCGGTACTCAAATGGGCAGAATGGGTACAAAGTTCCAGGGGTGTCGAATCCCCGGTACTGGTGTCCCAGAACCGGCGTTTTCCTACTACTTTAGTTCAAATTTAGTTTCATGGCTTTTCATGACTTTTCATAGCATACAGCATTTAATGCCGAGACACACTGGACGCGATTCGACAAAGCGGCGCGAGTTTTCAGTTTTTGAAAGTTAGTAAAACAGCCAATGAAAGGAAATTTTAAAAGATATGTTGACCAAATAACTCAAAATGTTATAGCGCTTCTAAATATTTGAAAAACTTAAACCAGCATCAAAGTTATTGGTCAGTGAAAATCGAAAAATCGCACCGCTTTGTAGAATCGCGTCCGGTGTGTCTGGGCCTTTCTGATTGTCTAGACAATGTAATGACCGGTCACCATATGTTCTAGCACTGTAAATGTAAGTACATATGCATAGCTCCTAGTAAAATTATATTTGAGTTTCTATGAACAGTTTCAGTTCTTTATAACCTATAACAAATGCCATTGATAGCAACGAAATTGTAATATAATGATTAATGTACGTATGTGTAACATATAAGATGGGTACTGTACCCATCTAATAAACCTTGTAAAATAGCATCAATGCAACTTATTACAATAATTGCATGTATATAACACAACAATGGCCAACGCACTTTTTTAACTGGATATTAACTGTTGTAGTCTAGAATGCATAATATCCCCTTGCTCCAAAGCCAAGAGTTTTGACTGGAACAGTCATCGTATTGAAGCTGGCCTGACTTGTCGCCAACGATTCTTGTTTCATATTTCCATCAAATTTCACCTGCATTTTTTCGTTCGATTTTGGTAACACCTCCCAACCCGTCCAAAATTGGAGGAGGTTGAAGATATTAGGTTCTTCTATATTGAAATTAGAATATATGTGATTGTAGTGAATTACAACTACCAGATGGTTTTTTGAAACCTAAGTTAAAAACGGATGTTAAATGCATGTAAAAATGATTTCGTGCGCTAAGAATTCATTTTCGATTGTTTATTTCAATATTACTGTTTTATGTACTATTTAAAAAACGAGCGGGAGTGTTTTATTAGGTTTAAAGCCACGAGCGCGCAGCGCGAGTGGCTTTAGACCTAATAAAACACGACCCGCGAGTTTTTTAAGTGACTTCAAAAACGTATGCATAATAAGTCAAATCTTTATATAAAAATCTTTATATAAAAATCTTTATATAAAAATCTTTATATAAAAATCTTTATATAAAAACCTTTATATATAGTTTGCATAACAATGGTCTTTTGTTAAAGTGTTCTTTAGCTGGTATAAAGACGTATGCACATGACTAATTTCTTACTCAAGATTGGATAATTGCTTCATGAATTATTAATGAGTTTTTGAAAGTCATTTCAAAAACTCATTAATTCATGAGGAAAACACAAAGAAAAATCATAAGCGTGTCGTATCTTTATGTGTGATAGAGATTTCCCTTTAACTGTGATTTTTTCGACTTACAGAAACGTATGTATTGAAAATTACTTCGCCAATGAACTTACTAGATCGATCGTTTTTGAAGCAATTTAAAACATTCGCAGTGTGTGTTTTATCAGACCTAAACGGCTAAAGATACTCGGCTTCGCCTCGTACCTTTATATCTGATAAAACACTGCTGCTCATGTTTTAAATAGTATACATACAATACAAGGAATTTCATGTTTGCAGCTATAGCAAAAAAGTGATTCTATGCATGGTTGGTATGGTACATAATCCGATATTTGCCAGGAAAAAGTAAAAATCGAATAAAGTGTCTGCGCAGCGAGCTTGCGCCTTGGGCATAGGACTTTATATCAGTAGTAGTAAAAGACCCCACTCTGGCGGATTTTATAATGAGCTTCCAAAATCTATGACGTCACATTGCTCCGAAAGTAATTAGTATGCAAAATATGTGACGCAACTTTGCTGGCCCTAACCCTAACCCTGGGCCGAGTAGCGCGACCAATTAACGCGGGCAGGCCTGGGCCAACTGTGACAGGTAGCGCGACCAATTAACGCGGGCAGGCCTGGACCAAACGTGGTCAATTAGCATTACAATACAGTAACATCACTATAAATACAGCTAGTGTCCTTTCACCTGCATAGTCTGTATTCAACGCTCACGATGGAATGTTTTCACGGTAAACCAGCTGCTTGTTCCACAACTGCTCGTGGTACGTTTTGGTTTTGTGGCGAAACACCGAGCTGCGAGTTCTTTTGCCATGACGAAGATTGTTATCTGTTCACGAGAGGAATGGAAGCCTGTAAGAATAGTGGTTCCAATCATCCCATTTGCCCAACACATCAGAGACTAGCCAAATCACGTGTGGTAAAAGATAAATTGAAAGATAATTATGGAAGACCCTTCTTCACGTGTTCTGATCGACATGATCCTTGCAACTTTTGGCAATGGGGAGACGTTTACGAAAGCCCTCGACCACGCTGCAAACACGGGATGGTATGCACCGTACGTAAAGTGAAAAAAGAAGGACCCACCCACAACCGCCTGTTTTACTGTTGCCCTCAGATAGACAGCTGTGGATTTTTCGAATGGAAAGAAATCGAACCTCGTGTGGCCAAGACTGGCTTCGTCCTATTCAGTGACCCGCTAGAATTTCGATACAAGAATGAAGACACGGGAGAAACATTCACCAGTACTAACATTAATGCTAAGGAAGCGTATGAAGAATTCCTTAAGAAATATGAATAACTGTAATAAAACGAAATAAATTGTTTTTATCATCATGAATGTGTTCTGTATGTTATTGAGATAAATCACTTATATTTCTCATTTGGGTTTTAACCTTTATGGGGAGAGGTTCTCTGGTGAAATGAATAATATAAACATAATTTTTGACGAGTTGAGACAAAATGAAATTGATATCGATAAGCAGACTTTATCGTTTCATATAAATGCAATTCTCGACCACCATCGAGATCTATATCGTGAAATGAGTGCTCATGGTCTAAACCTTGACCAAGTCTACAGAGAAATAAATATGACAAACTTTGGTCGCATTTTTGCCTATTTAGCTTTAGTTTGTATGCAAAGTGACAACGAGGAAAGCGTTCGGGAACATGTCCGAAAAACTGTCGAGGCCTTTCGAACTTTT